AGCCGATGTAGATTTCCCCATAGGGTACGTCTTGTTCTCCTCATTCATCACAGCGGAAGGTCCATTAGCGCTCTGGAACTCTTCAACTGTTGGCACTGAGCTATGTGCATGTCTGTTCAGGGTCAACGTTTCACTTGTATCTGTTTGCTGTTAGTCAAATCATAAAAAAAGGTAATTGACTGTAACATTGATGCATAATGGCTCATTGCTTTTTCATAGAAACCAGCTTTTGGGGCATCAAAATAGCTTCCTGGTTGAGAAACTGTAACGGATCGTTGGACTTTTATCCTAATCCAAAGGCCTTTGTGTTCTACCAAGTGTCTCTGTGTAATATCCTTTTGCAGATTGAGAAGAGGAATGATGGCACATGTCTCTCAATAACATCTGGATGAAAATATGTAATAAATGTAACTGTCAAACAGCTATGCGTATTCTTAGGAACACCTGAATATACATCACTTAATGACAGAAATGTGAGCAATAGCATCACTTTTCACAGAATATTTTTGTTAGATAATATTATGTATTCATTTATAATATGGAGTTGACATTATTAAACCTAATAACTCAACAAAGCTGACAAATGAATTAAAAGCTATGACGGGATGTTTCTACACTGAGCTGTTGAACCAGTAATTCATTATAGTGTTTGATCTTATAGGGAATGCTGGATATCCATATTATTCAGAGAGGCTGAAAAAGTGATGTGCTTATCTGCTCTGTGAACATGACCTCAGGTACCCATCATACCTTGCTCCAGAGGTGATCGCTCAGGGCTCCTTCCACCCCAGTGACTCTTCCCATGATCAAGCTCCTCTGCCTTCAGGACCTAAAACTGATGTCTGGTCGTTTGGGGTTTTGTTGTTTGAATTATGTGCAGTAAGAATCCTTCAAAAAACATCTTCAGACAACAATAAGACATTCAAACAAGATTTTTTGATGCCGTTTGGCCTGAACTCCAGCTGTATGGATCATTTGCCACATCAATTCTAATGCTGTGAATCAATTACAGGGTAGACGACTGCTGCAGAATATTGATATTAGTGAGAGATTGAAATTCATCCTAACCTTGGGTAAGTAAAAAGGACATAATTAATCAAAGTGCTGAGAATTATGCTCTTTAATTTAATTAGGCTTACTCTGTGATATTGTTTGTCATTCTCAGGTTGCATAGACGACATTGTCACTGTCCTTGCTGAGGAACATGGTTGCCTGGATGCCATCAAGGTGAAGTCAAAATCATTGTCTGCCTAGATCTGAGTTAATAATAAAGACAATAATAAATAAAGACATTTTAATGGTATTGTTAAATGAAAGAGCTTTTAGACGTAATTAGGTTGCATTATTGACATTACAATATTATATAAAACAATATCTTATCTTATTTTATGTTTTCACTCGGTAATAATACCAAAGTTCTTTGCCTAATTAAAATGTCTAAATTGAGAGTTTTCCTGATTTAGATTAAGAAATATGTGATAAAGCTCTGACGGAGCATTTGTCGACAACTTTACTTGACTTAACAATTACTGGAAATACAGATTTTATATTTTCCATTAAATTAGAATTACACACTTAAAGCTTTTTTATTTGAATGTATTCAATCAGACATCTAGTCCCACTTTAAGTTTTGTGTAAGCATTACCTAATCTTTCTTGACTTTTTCGTGGGATTATTAGGAGTTTGAATGGGACTTGTGTGTATTGTGTGTATTGTGTGTACTGGAGCTAATACGCTTGTTTTTTTACAGGTGCTGCCTGAAAATGTCCTGGAGTTATTAAGGAAATGCTTGACATTTCTTCCATCCAAAAGGTAAATGCAGTGTGATGTATTTGTTGTTGTTGTTGTAGGACACGGACTATTTAGTTTTCTTATGCACTTACTCATGCAAGTTATTAAATACTTGCTGCATGTACGTCAGAAAGGATTCCAGCATGCTAAAACATGATACCAAAGTAAACAGATGCAAGTTTTATGACGTTATATTACTAAATGTTTGATATAATAAATTATCATTTCTCAAATTACAACTGTTTGTGGATATTGTTCTGTCATCACCATGTTGTCATTGTCTGTGTCTTCCAGGCCGACCCCTGCAGACCTGTTGGGAGACCCTGTGTTTAGTGGCGTCTCGTGCCTCTACACGCCCTTCAAGAAGCCTGTTAGTCTGTTCTCCTCCTCTCTGCGCTGTGCACATCTGGAACTCCCAGAGGACATCAGTGAACTCTGCAAAGGTCTTCCCGAACTTCGCACAACTGCACATGCAGCCTTACACTGACACGTACACGCTACATACACACCAATCACCCGTCAACCCTTCTTCCTCTTGACTAAACATTACATTTTTCAAAGCTGAATTGATTACCTTGAAGTAGGTTTGTGAAGCATGCC